ATTATATATAAAATATATATTTGTATATTGTTGTATATAAATATATATATATATATATATATATATATGTATAAATTAAAATTAATAAATAAAAGCTGAAGTACTTTTCTTGGTAGATATTTTTTTCAGACATTCTTAAGAACATTATATCACACATACTGAACTTTCCTTCCAAATGTGACAGGCTTTGCATCTTTCTGGCATCTTTTACTGACTTTTTCTGCCTTCGTTTTTATAGCAGGCTAAACGGGATGAAGATCTACATCGGTCATTCTACAATGAACCCCAATAAATAAACTTTATGCTGGTGATGGTGTACCCCAATGACAGATGCCTACAGCATTCAACAGTTCTTATAATATCATAAAAATGTTCCCTATCTTTAAGCTCAGGATCTGGAGAAAATGTTTATTATGCCGCAAATAAGTCAAAAGATTTTCATAAACAACTACCTGCTAAAGTGAAACACAGGTGTTATTATGAAGCTTCAAAGGCCATTTATTCAAATGCACAACTCACATTTCTTATATTTCTTGGTATCCACTGAGAATCTGTGCACTGCTCTGACAGTTGTGACATGCAGAAATATTATCCACTGGGAATTGATTGTATATATGTTTTGTTTTATTTAAAATGTATATACAATTTGTGACTTGAGTAAAGCCACAGGCAAATTTAGTAGACTGAAACGTCATAAATTATGTCTTAGGGGTTTTATGGGGATATTATCATTTTGTAGGGAATAAAACAAATAAACAAACGAATCAAATAGTTAAGTCACTAAGTCCTAATAATTTAAATGCAATTATGATTTTCAAAAATATTTTGTATATATTCTTTTTTCATGTGTCACAGTAGGTTTATAATAATATTCAGACAAAATAGAATCCTGAATTTTTTATTCAAAACAATGTTTGCCTTTTTTAATGAACCAACCCTTTTCTAACCGTTATTGAATTGTAGACAATTTTTTTGACTGTTTTATACAAATGAAATTTTTGAATATGTTCTTTTGTGGAATTCTTGAATAAAATGTTTGGTTAATAATGATGTCTGACTTTGTGCTTGTTACTGAATGAGAAAACATGATAGATAGATAGATAGATAGATAGATAGATAGATAGATAGATAGTCACAACAACAGAACGACAGATGGACAGGATGATAGAACGATAGAACGATAGAATGATAGAACGATAGAACGATAGAATGATAGATAGATAGATGATAGATAGATAGATAGATAGTCACAACAACAGAACAACAGATGGACAGGACGATAGACAGAACGATAGAACGATAGATAGATAGATAGATAGATAGATAGATATATAGATAGATAGATAGATAGATAGATAGATAGATAGTCACAACAACAGAACGACAGATGGACAGGATGATAGAATGATAGATAGAACGATAGAATGATAGAACGATAGATAGAACGATAGATAGATAGATAGATAGATAGATAGATATATAGATAGATAGATAGATAGATAGATAGATAGATAGTCACAACAACAGAACGACAGATGGACAGGATGATAGA